CCTACCTTCAGGCAAGATGAGACCTAAACCAATCTGATAGATGAACTAGGACTAGGCTGTATATTTAGAGAAAAGATATTGATAGATAGATATAGATATAGATATATAGATATATATATAGATATATACATATATATCTATATATATATATATATATATATATATATATAGAGAGAGAGAGAGAGAGAGAGAGAGAGAGAGAGAGAGAGAAATTATATTGATCTTACTATGGTCCAAAGTATACAGATATCAATAATGAGCTAGAGATGACAGTGAGTTTGCCATCTCTATCCTCTGCTGGTATATGAGAAGTTTTTACTCTAGGGCAGACATTAGCAACCTGGAAGCTGGGAAGCTTGTCTGGAGGGACATGCTCCATGCATAGGTACTCTAGACACTGACCACTACAGCATGCGCTACTTTGAGTAACCTGACAGGCAGGAGTTAGTAAATGTGCCTTGATCAATCAATAAACATTTATTAAGTACCTACTATGTACCAGGCACTGTGCTAAGTGCTGGGGATACAAAAAGAGACAAAAGATAATGGCTGCCCTCAAGGAGCTCACAATCTAATGGAGGAGACAACATGCAAACAAATTTATATAAAGTAAGCTATATACAGGATGACTAGGAAATAATTAATAGAGGAAAGGCACTAGAATTAAGAGAGACTGGGAAAGGCTTCCTGTAGAAGGTGGGATTTAGTTGGGACTTAAATGAAGTCAGGGAGGTTAGTAGTCAGAGAGGAAGAAGGAGCATGTTTCAGGCATGGGGAATAGCCAGAGAAAAATGGGGTGTTTTGTTCATAAAACAGTCAGGAGGCCAGCGTCACTGGATCAAAGAAAACTTGTCAGGGAGTAAGGCGCAAGAAGATTGGAAAGGAAGGAGGGGGCTAGATTATGAAGGGCTCTGAATGCCAAACACAGCATTTTGTATTTGATCCTGGAGGGAACAGGAAGTAGGGGTAGGGATGGGGTTAGGGGGTGTGACACTTTAGGAAAAACTTCTTTAGTAGTTGAATGGAGGATGGATTGGAGTGGGAAGAGACTTGGGGCAGACAGAGCCACCAGCAGGCTACAGCAATAATCCAGCCAAGGTGATGAGAGGCTGCACTAGAGTGGTGGCAGTATCATACGAGAGAAGAGGAAATATTGAGAGATGCTGTAAAGATGAAATCGACAGGCCCTGACAATACCTTGAACAAGGTGGGGGAGGGGGAAGATAGTGAGGAATCCAGGATGACTCCTAGGTTGAAAGCCTGAGGGACTGGGAGGATGGTGTTGCCCTCGACAGTACTATAGAGGGTAGGAAGAGGGGAGGGTTTTAGGGGTAAAGACAAGTTCTGTTTTAGGCATGTTTAGCATAAAATGTCTACTGGACATCCAGTTTAAGATGTCTGGAAAGGCAGCTGGAGATGAGAAATTGGAGGTCAGCAGAGAGGCTGGGGCAAGAAAGGTAGATTTGAGAATCATCAGCACAAAGTGATAATTACACCCACAGGAGCTGAGATCCCCAAGTGAAGAAATACAGAGGGAGAAGAGAAGAGGGGCCAGGGCAGAGCCCTGAGGGACATCTACAGTTAGAGGGCGTGATCTGGAGGAGGACCCAACAAATGAGACAGAGAAGAAACAGTCAGAGGTAGGAGGAAAACCAGGAGAGAGTGGCATCCTGAAAACCGAGAGAGAAGAGAGTTTCAAGGAAGAGAGAGTGATTAATTGTGTCAAAGGCTGCAGAGAGATTAAGGAGAATGAGGACTGAGAAAAAGTCACTGGATTGAGCAACTAAGAGATCATTAATAACTTTAGAGAGACCAGTTTTGGTGGAATGATGAGGTCAGAAGGCCAGACTAGAAAAGGTAAAGAAGAGAATAAGAGAACAGAAAGTGGAGGTATGTATGGTAGACAGGCTTTTTGAAGAATTTAACTACAAAGGGTAGACAAGATATAGGATGACAGCAGGGATGGAAGGATCAAGTGAGGGTTTTTTCAGGATGGGGAGATATGGGCTTGTCTGTTGACAGCAGGAAATAAGCCAGTAGAAGGGAGGAGACTTAAATAAGTCGAAGAATAAGGATGACAGAGGAGGTAACGTGTTGGAAGAAAAGTGATGGAGTTGATTTTGGTAAGGAATACTACATCATGTGAGACAGGGGTGACGGAGGAGAGAGTGGCAGAAGGCACCTGAGATGAGATGAGGCAAATGGCCTCAATTTTATCTGTAAAATATTAGACAAGGTTCTCAACTGAAAGAGTGGGAAAAGGAGGAGCCACGAGAGGTTTAAAGAGGGATGAAAAGCTTTGAAAGAGCTGCCGTGGAGAGTGGGATAGTGAAGTGATTAGGGAGGGATAGTAGGATTACCCAGCAGCAGTGAGGACCCTGTTGAGGTCATATAACATAAATTTATAGTGGACCCAATCAGAACAGTTGTGTGATTTTCTCCACTTTCTTTCAGCAGCACATGTGTAGGAGTAAAGGTACTGAATGGTGGGTGTGATCCAAGGCTGAGGCTTGGCAGGGAATAATTGACCTAGGAAAGACCTTAATTTAAAAAGACCAAGGTCACCCAATGCATCCTGGGCCATCACCACTTCTCTTTGACCTTTGTCTTGCCACTGGACTCCAATGACCCTGGAGGAGAGACAGCAAGGCTGATTTTGCCCAAGACTTTGCGCAGCTCAGCTCTACTTAAATCCAACTCCCATGCAAAAATCAAGACATCATGCTCGTGTTATCAATGGTCCTCTTTGAAAACAAGGATGAACAACAACTGCTGAAATAAGGGGGCTGGGGATTCAAGAGAAGACAATGTAGAGGTGAACTGTTTCATCAAAAGGTCAAGATGGGTAAAAGAGGAAAAAGGCTAATGCAAGAAGATGGCCTGGGAAAGAATTGAAGAGTCAAGGGATTGAAAATCATGATGTGGATAAAGAGTAGAGTTTGGTAACGGAAGGCAGAGGGAGGGGTGAAAAGCCAATTACAGTCGGATAAGGGGATTTCAGAATTCTTGAACACAGAAGTACTACATTTGTGAGTCACGGCAAGATCAAGGGTATGACCATCTACGTATGCGGCTGAGGTGGGTTAAAGGAATAGGCCAGAAGAAGTGAGTAGGTTGAGGAACTAAATGATTAGGGTACTTGAGGGAGAGTTAAAATGTCTGTTGAAGTCTCCTAGTATATGGGCAGGACTTGGGGAAGAGAGAAAATTGTGAGCTACATACCAAATTCTTTGGGGAAGGAAGGAGAGTAACAACAGCAATGATGAACCTCAAAGGAAGGGAGGTTACTGAGTGATGGAGGAACAGGGAGAATGTGAAAGAGGCAATGGGGAGCAAGGAGTATTCTAACTCCCATACCTCAACCAATGAATCAAAGAGAATGAGTGAAGGTGTAGCCAGTAATGGAAAGGGTGGCCAGGCAGGCTGCGTCATCAAGGGAGCCAGCAAGAGATGATGGTAGATGGAAGGAATGGGAAAGGAAAAGATTTAAGATGAAGGGAAGTTTCTTGCCTATGCAACAGGCATTCCAGAGAGGATGAAGAGAGTTAGGTTGAAACTTTAAGGTGAGGTGGTTGAAGGAGATGGGAACCAGTAGGAATGTGGGGGAGGGTTTGGATGATGACCTACAGAAATTCAGAGTCACTGGGATGTGAAGGGTAGGAACCAGGTGTGAGAATGCGCATCACTGGGTAGAGGGCACCACTGCTCTACCTTCAAAGAACAGGCACAGCAGGAGATGGGAGGTACGGGTGTGCAGTCAGAGAATGTCTGGCTCCTTCTCTCATCTGAGGAGACTGGCAATGAGGTGGCAAGAGGAAATGGAAGACTTCCTGTGCAGGGGAAGGTCCTCTGGGGCAGATGGAAGATGGTGCTGGAATGCTGTCCAGTGACAGCTAGACTACTCACTTCTAGTGCTGCCCAGTTCAATAGCTGGGGAAAACTGGTCGAAGTTCGAGTCAGACTACCTGGGTTTGCTGACAGCTTAACTGAGCGAATGGCATCTAAGTGAAAAAAAAAACTTCTGAGCTTTGCTCTGGATTGCTGGGACAGCTTGAGCAAACAGAACAGTAGTTCACATTTCTGTAGTGGCATCCATTTTTACCTCCTTCAATAAGGAGATCATCAGCTAAGACAAGAAAGAAATGTAAGCAAGCAGTTCCAAAAAGTGAACAGAGCCCATGCAAAAGGAGTTGTGTTCTGTTTAGAAAGAACCTAAGCTCCAAAGGTACACCAGGGCGAGAGCCCTAGGCAAGCACCTATAACACAACAAAGACTTCACTCATGAAGCACTTCATATCAACAATTCCCAAACACAAGGGAGACTGAGCAGACATCCTTGTCTGAGGTCTGCCTCTACAGCACAGCACATAGCATAAAGCATGTCTCTCAGGGCAGATCTGTGAGGTAGAGTAAGGTAGAGCAAGAATTATTGGCCTCATTTTGCAGCTGAGGAAACTGAGACACAGATGAGGTGTTAATCACCCAGGTAGCAATGGGCAGAACCTGGACTGGAACCCAGGAAAGTCCAGAGACCTCTACACTCTACACCGCATCTCAGGACTATCAGATTAGTGGTAGCAGCTCAGACTCTTGTTGTGTGCTGTACAACCACTCCCGTTGGATATGTCAGGCTCCTGCCTGCATCATCAGATCTGAACATTACTTCCATCGTCAGCTACGCTGCTTTGTGGCACCACCTTTTCCCAGGGTGTGCTGGGAAAGCCTCAGTCCCTGCAGTGCTCAATCTTATGTCCCAAAGGCATTCCCCTAACCTTTAGTGATGTGATTAAGACTATGAATTCTTAGCTATCCAGGACATAATTTACATATTAATCACCACAAAAATAATACCAAACACTTAGTCAGAGGTAACTCTGTCAGTCAGCAATTCAAAAACAAAGGGAAAAGAGACCTTTCCTAAGCAACTGGTGCTTCTGACCTTAGAGGCGCAAACCATGGACTGGGAGGTTGAGAAAAAAGTATCTAGCAGGCCTACTTACCCCCATGACTCTGCCACGCTGCTCGACGTCCTCCCACATAAAATGAACTATGATACGACACATGTAGCTCCCTGAACGGCCCTCCTGCTTCATCCGTACAAGACACATCCTGGGGAAAATGCAAAAAAGTCAAAGGCTGCTTTCAGTCTCTTCTCTTTATACTTCCCCACTAAAGCCACCCCATCACCACCCTTTGTTCTCCACCCTCACCTGCTGGGATCCACAGCTTCCTTTGAGCCTCAGCTCAGGTGCCATACTCTTCATTTATTTTCCTGGTCCTCCTAACAGGGGTGGGGAACCTTCAGCCTCGAGGCCACATGTGGTTCTCTAGGTCCTCAAATGCACCCCTTTTTTTAAAAATTTATTTCATTAATTTATTTTGATTTATCAACAATCACTTCCATATGCTTTTGAGTTGAAAATTTTTCTCCCCCTTCCTCCCCTTTCCTCCCCACCACGCTCCCCAAGACGGCACACAATCTGATATAGGCTATACATTTACCTTCCTATTAAACATATTTTCATGTTAGTGAAGTTGTAAGTAAAAATTAAGACCAATAGGAGGAACCATCAGAAAGAGGAAACAAAACTCAACAGAAGAGAAAAAAAAGATAGCAATTCAACTTCCATAGTTCTTTCTTTGGATGTGGAGAGCATTTTCCATCATGAGGCCTATGGAGATATCTTAGATCCTTGTATTGTTGAGAAGGGTTAAGTTTATCAATATTAGTCATCACACAACATGGCTGTTATTGTGTACAACGTTCTCTTGGTTCTGCTCACTTCACTCAGCATCAGACCATACAAGTCTTTCCAGGTTTTTCTGAAGTCAGCCTGTTCATCATTTCTTATAGCACAATAGTATTCCATTACATTCATATACCACAACTTGCTCAGCCATTCCCCAATCGATAGGCATCCTCCTAATTTCCAATTCTTTGCCACCATGAAAAGAGCTGCTATGAATATTTTTGTACATGTGGGTCCTTTTCCCATTTGTATGATCTCTTTGGGATATAGCCCTAGAAGTGCTATTGTTGGGTCAAAAGGTAGGCACAGTTTTATAGCCCTTTGGGCATAGTTCCAAATTGTTCTCCAAAATAGTTGGATCATTTCACAACTCCACCAACAATGCATTAGTGTTCCAATTTTCCCACATCTTCTCCAACATCTAACATTTTCCTGTTTTGTCATGCTGGCCAATCTGATAGGTGTGATGTGGTACCTCAGAGTTGTTTTGATTTGCATTTCTCTAATCAATAATAATTTAGAGCATTTTTTCATGTGACTATAGATGGCTTTAATTTCTTCATCTGTGAACTGTCTGTTCATATCCTTTGACCATTTATCAATTGGGTAATGATTTGTATTCTTATAAATTTGACTTAATTCTCTATATATTTTAGAAATGAAGCCCTTATCAGAGAGACTGGTTGTAAAAATTCTTTCCCAATTTTCTACCTTCCTTCTAATCTTAGTTGCATTGGCTTTGTCTGTGCAAAACCTTTTCAATTTAATGTAATCACAATCATCCATTTTGCTGTTTTGCGATGTTCTCTATCTCCTGTTCTCCATAGATCTAACAGGTAAACTATTCCTTGCTCTCCTAGTTTACTTATAGTATCAGCCTTTATATCTAAGTCCTGAACCCATTTTGACTTTATTTTGGTATATGGTGTGAGATTTGGGTCTACGCCTAGTTTCTGCCATACTCTTTTCCAGTTTTCCCAGCAGTTTTTTTTCAAGTGCAGCCCTTTGACTGAATATAAACTTCAAAGCACAAATCTCAAAAGGCTGTGGGTTCCCGACCTCTGTCAGGTAGGAATCCCAATCTCAAAAGGATTTGTTGATTCTTGATTAGTCTGTTCATCCATCCATTCCTTCAACAAGTATTCATTAATGATATGTAAAGAAAAGCATGCTAAGTGCTTCCACATTAGCCTTGTCCAAAAAAACCTCCTGTCTCATTTTGAATGGTGGCAGGTAACACGTCTCCTCCTTAGTCCTCTGGAATCCTAGTTGGTTATTAAGATGGTAGGAATTCAGCACAATAGTATTCCAGCACATTTATATGCCATAACTTGTTTATTCCCCAAAATTCATGTAAGACATGACAAGGGATATAATAAAAAAATAGAAATAATTTAAAAACAGGGTAGTAGGAAATAACACTTCCAGTCTCCAAAAGACATTAGAAAGCAATTAGCTGTGTGACCCTGGGCAAATCACTTAACCCACTGCCTAGCCCTCCCCCGCAAAAAAAAAAAATATATATATATATATACACATATTAGAAAGCAGCAATCAACAAAAACATTCAGAATTGATTAAAAAGTGCAAGTAGATTAATGAAACAAGCCAGACAAGGGAGAATAAGAAGTAATGAACAAGATCCCAGTGTTCAATAAAACTGAAAACATAAATTACCTAGGAAAAAACAATCTATCTGATTAGAACTCTTGGGAAAACTGGAAGGCAGTATGGAAAGAATTAGGCTCAGAGACCAACCATATTCTATAATAAATTCAAAATGGATATGTGGCTTGAATATTAAAGATTATACCATAAAGAAATCAGAAGAAAAGCAGATCATATACCTTTCACAACTATGCACAGAAATGTGTTATTTTTTTAAAATAAGTTTTTATCGATGTCTTCTGTTTTTTACATATTTTCTCCCCAGTATCCCTCCTCTTCCTCCTGGAGAGCCATCCCATATTACAAACAGTACTTTTTAAGGAGACCCACACACAAAAAAAATCAGCACTACAAATCAAAACGTTAAAAAAGTCCAAAAATATGTACTGTGTACAATAGCTGTGGATGTCCAAGTTGGATTTATACTAGAGATCCAAATCCTTGCATGAACTGTTGCAAATTGAAGTAAGCTGATCGTGAAAACAATATATGCAATAACTACAACGAGTATGGCAAGAACAATAAACATAAAACATTTTAAAATGAATGCTACAAAATTAAAAAGAATAACCTTGGCCCCAAAAAAGAGATATGAGAAGCTACCTCCAACCAACACTTTGGTGAGTAGGGGAGATCCATGAGTATGGAAAACTGCATTTAATTTGAGGTTGGTTTTTTTTTAATATAGTGAGCAGTTTTGCTAATCTCTTTTTTTCTCTTCTTTTTCTTTAAAAAATTTTTTTTATAAGCAATGGCTCTCCAGAAGGTAGGGAAAGGCATACAGTAGGAAAAGTGGGTGATCTAAAAACAAAAGATAGGGACAATAATAATAAACATTTATTATTAAAAATAAATAATGCATATCAATAACAAACATTTTAAAAGTAAGTTTGTTAATCTGAGTGGTATAGTATTAAAACTATAAATGAATATTTTTATTATATTAGCATAGCAGAGACCTGAACACTGAATATTGCTTTCTTCTATTTAAGTTGTTCTTTATGGAGTACTTTGTAAAGGAATCTAGAAAAGCTTTTTGTGTGTTTTGGAAGGTTGAATTCCAAATATTTCATGCATTTTGTAGCTATTTGGAATGGGATTTCTCTTTTTATTAATGCCTCTTGAATTTTGTTATTATTATATGTTAGATGTCACTGATTTCTGAGAGTTTATTTTGTGGCCTATAATTCTGCTAAAACCTTAGTCTCAATTAGTACCTCTGCATATTCAAGATTTTCTTTCTTAAAAATTTGTTTTAATAAACTAAGATTTGTCTTGCCACTCTCTCATCCAACCCTAATTGAGAACAGAATAACAAAACCTGTAACAAAAAAGTACAGTTCATCAAAAATAATTTCCACATTAGCCTAATCCAAAAAAACCCCTGTCTCATTTTGAATGGTGGCAGGTAACATGTTTCCTCCTTAGTCCTCTGGAGTCCTAGTTGTTTATTAAGATGGTAGGAGTTTAGCACAATAGTATTCAAGCACATTTATATGCCATAACTTGTTCATTCCTCAATTTATGGGTACCCCCTCAGATTCCCATTTTTTCCCATCTCAAAAAGAACTATAAATATTTTTGTATACCCTTAGAGTTTGTTTTGCTTAGGACTAAAACCTCCAAGTACTAGGCCTGTAGGAAGACCTGAGTTCAAATCAGGCCTCAGACATTATCTGTGTGACCCTAGGCAAATAACTTAAGCTCTCTTTGTCTTAATCCACTGGAGAAGGAAATGGCATATCACTCATCTTCGCCAAGAAAATCTCATGGACATTATGGTCCACATGGTCAAGAAGAGTCAGACACAACTGAATGACTGAACAACAATCTCTCCCTTAACCTACCTTTCCTCTAATTTTACCTTCTCCCCTTTCCCTCCCATTTCCTTGTTGAATGAAATGTATTTCTGTAATGAACTCTGTGTGTTTCTGCGTGCACACGTGCATGTGAGTATTCTTCCTTCCTCAGAGGAGAGTGAGGTTCAAATAATTCCTTCCTCAGAGGAGAGTGAGGTTCAAATATCACCTGCTCCCTCCACTCATCTCTTCATTTGTCTACTTGTGTACCTGATTATGAGATAATTTTCCCTTCCTTTCCCTTTTCCCCTACGTGGTGTATTCCTTTCTCTTTCTATTCTTTTCTTAAAATCACAGAAACATTAAAAAAACAAACAAACATTCCCAGGCCTTGCCTAATTAGACTCTCTCTCCGACCCTGATGATGACACAGGTTCCTAGGGGACACAAGTATCATCTCCCCATATTATAATGTAAGCAGTTTGCCCTTATTTTGTCCTTTTTCATTGTTTAATCATATTTAACTTTTTATGTTTCTCAACTCCTGTGCTTAAAAAATTTCTATGCAAAGCTGATCTGTTCATCAGGAATGGTCAGAGGTCATCTATTTCATTAAAGATCCTTTTTTTTACTCCGTGTAGCAATATACTCAGTTTTGCTGGGCAAAACATTCTTGTCTGTAAGCCTTTATGCTTTCTGGAAAATCATATTACACGTTCTCTGCTCTTTTGTACTGGTGATCTTTTCCTTTGACCTGGAAACTCTGGATTTTGGCTATAAAGTTCTTTCAAGTTCTCATTTTGGTGTGTCTTTCAGGAGGTAACCATTGGATTATTTTTACTTCCATTTTGACCCCTGGTTCTAAGAGATTTGGGCAGTTTTAAGATTTATT